ATTAACTCTTATCAGATGTATCGTTGGCAAATATGCTCCCCCATTCATTGAGTTGCCTTCTCATTTTGTTGATGATTTCTTTTACTGTGCAAAAGCTTTTTAAGTCCCATTTGTTTATTTTTCCCTTTGTTTTCCTTGCCTGAGGAGTTATATCGGCAAAAATGGGTTCACCTTTTAAATATGAAGAATAGATTACACTGTGGTCCTTAATCAACTCTCTTGAGTCTATGAGAGCCATATTTATGTTTTCACAGAATTTTTGTTTTTTTTTATTTTTTTTATTTTTTATTTATTTATTTTTTTTAAAAATCTTGCAATTTTATTTGCATATAAAGGCCGCTAGATATAGAATATCACAATAAATTTAAAGAAACAGCTGCTTTCCTAAATTTCATTAACAAGGTAACATAAAATAGAATAAAGCTCAACAGCATTTACAATGGGAAAACAGAAATGACTATTAGCGACAATATTTTGTGCTAGCGAAGATTGCATCGACACACAGTGCAAAATGGGGGGAGGGAGAGGAAGTAAGAAGACAATTCAGGGTATTTAAATATAAAGGACAACTAAGCCTTATTTTCGTTAGCTTCCATTGCATCCATTTAAGTCTATACACGCCTGTAACTGTACCTAGATTTGACTCAAGCTCTTTAAGACCTTGAGTTCTGAGAAAGTGTGTGAGCTCCTCAGCCTCCGGATGCCCTGCTATACAGCATCCCTTGCAGCTCTACCATCCTTGGCAATAGTAAACTCCTAACTTAGTCATAATACACAAAAAATACTTATATATATAAACCCATATTAAAAAGGAGTCTTGCACACTCTTTTTTTTTGTACTGCATGAAATACCTGCTCTTGACAGATTCCATTTCCATATTTTTTAAAGCTAAAATAATTTAAAAGCAACAAACAAGGAGACCTTGCATAACCACAGTATGGATCTCACTAGCTAAGCCATCTTTTAAGACGTGGGCTGTTTTCTTCCCTTGACACAACTCTCTTTAGAGTGAGAGTGTGAGGGGAAGTCTATTTCCACGCCGACTTTTGTTGAAAAGATTCCCATAAATCTGGGCCCCATCTGCAGAAAAGAAGCATGACCAAGAAAACAATAATAACAAAACATCAAAAAAAGTAAAATAGTTCAAACAATACTCTTAAACAGTTGTGCAAATCTGGTTGGTTTTTAAAACACTGCCTACCTGTTTTCTTTTTTTCTTCCAGCTTAAAGCATATTAAAATAAGACTTTTATCACCTTTTAAAAAGAAAGCTTGGCTGTCCTTTGGCGAACACTAACAATTTACAATGGCGTGGCCTTTAAGAAAACAGAAGTCATTTTACAAATTCACAGTGCTCCTCTGATTTCAAATGGATACCCCATTTAAAAATAATAATAATAATAATAATAAAGAAGCACAACCTTTAGCATCATTTTTTGTTGTTGTTGTTCCAGCAATTTACAAAAAGAACTCACAGGATTTGGAAATAAACAAGTCAGAGAATGTAAATTTATAATTAGAAAAAATGGCAGTTTATAGACCTTCCCTCACATTCCAGTTGGGCATTCAGAGCTTCAGGAATTCTGTGGGTTTGGAAGGTCAAATATAATTGGAGGGTTGGTCCGTTGAAAGCTGACTGTACACGTTGAGGCATTGATGTAGGTTGTGTAACCGTCGGTCATGATGCCATAACCTTCGTGAATTCCACCAAACACGTGGAGCTTGGGTCGGACTCGCCTCTGCACTGTGTTTAAGAGCTCCACGCAGCCCACTCTCTGAAGCTCCTTTGGAACCCAGTCTCGAAAACCTAGAGGAGGTCCATGTGTCATGAGAATGTCGATGCCCTCGGGGATGAGGTTCCATTTGTCCAGCAGAGACTGACCTCTGGGTAGGTTAAAGCCCCATCCATTAAACCACGGGGTCCAAGGTGCACCGTATATCCTGAATCCCTTCACTGTTACCTCCGAGTCTTGTAAGTAAATACTGTTTGTCAGGAGGGACTGAACTTTGTCAAAGTCCTCTGGTTTCAATTTGGACACAGAGGGGAAACGGTAGTAGTCCTGTTTAACGAGGTCTGCCATGAATTCCTTATCAAATGTCAGTTCATGATTCCCAGCAATCACTATTTTATATTCATATGGCAGGTTTCCTAACCAGTCATTAAACTTCTTAACCTCTGAGGGCAGTCCCAGCTCGGTGAAATCGCCTGTGTGGAGAAGGATGTCCCCATAAGGCATCTGGATACCATCTGTTCTGGAGTGTGTGTCTGAGATGCAGACAAACCGCATGTGGCCCGCTGGTTTTGGAGTGTCATATGGGATGGGGTCGACCATATGTACATGTGGCGGCTGGAATCTGCTCTGGTTGATGTTGTAGTGCGTGAACGCCTGGGTGGGGTTAGAGCTGTATTCATCCACCGATATGGTAACTTTGCCTTGAGAAGGAATCCCATGTGCCATCCTTCCTCGCTATAGGCATGAGCAATTCACAACTTTCCGGAGCGAAGGATGGAAGCAGGCATGGTGCGCTTCAGCCAACCTCTGAACCCAAGGATCTACTCATCAATACTGCTGTGCGTTTCTTTCCCGGGCTGCGCTCCGGGTCCGGGGGATGCCTTCAGCGCCCGGCGAGCAGGCGATCCATCGCTGAGCGGCCAGAATTTTTATTTTTTATAAGATAAACTTAATTAGTTCCTTGAACACTTTTCCAAAACAGCTATTTTTTTTTACAGACTTTTCAGAATGAACTAGTTCTTGTCTCTCTTCAGTAACATTTCTCACAACCTTTGTAAGGCCTGATTACCAATACCCCAGAACACACTTTCATGTGCCCATCAAATATCCACAGAACAGTGTCACTTTTATCTCTAATGTGTGACTATAATTTTAAGGAGCACCTTGCCAGGTTATTGTCCTTTTAAGTAATTCTCTTGAGTTGGTTGATTTTCTGCAAATATGGAGGTTTTAGCTACCAAAGTCTTCACTGGGAAAAGAGACTCAGAAGAGCCAAGGCTGCATGTTTTGGATTTATTTTAGTATTTTATGTATTTTCACAGTGTATTGAGCAGCTTAAACACCATATACTCCATACCAGAGAAGTGACCAAGTCTGATAAACGAGTTAGAAAGCTCTGAGGGCCCCATGT